AAAAAGAGCAAAGCTAGGGGAAGCTCCACCTACCATATCATCCTGTGGTCTCATGATGACCAAACTGTCCCCAGACTAATTTAGGGGTAGAGCGAAAGTGTACATTCCCCCCAGAATTTCCCAAAGGGAAGAAAGTCATAACAGAAATATAGTGAAGTCATCAAAAAAAACCCCAGAATTATCTATACAAATTGTGAATGGTATGGTTCTGTTTCTTCTGCTACAGTACAAAAACTGAAAGGTTTTCGTCCAGAGAGAAATATAAAAATGGGCGCCTGGGTGGCTCAGTCGTTAGGCATCTGCCTTCAGCTCAGGTTCCCAGGGTCCTGGGATCGAGCCCCACATTGGGCTCCCTACTCCGCGGGAAGCCTGCTTCTCTCTCTCCCACTCCCCCTGCTTCTGTTCTCTCTCTCACTGTGTCTCTCTCTGCCAAATAAATAAAATCTTTAAAATATATATATATAAATAAAAACAAAGAGGGGCACGTGGGTGGCTCAGTCAGTTAAGCATCTGCCTTCAGCTCAGGTCATGATCCCAGGGTTCTGGGATCCAGCCCTGCATCAGGCTCCCTGCTCAGCGGGGAGCCTTCTCTCTCTTTCCCTCTGCCACTCCCCCTGCTCAAGCTGTTTCAAATAAATAAAATCTTAAAAAAAAAAAAAAAAAATAGAAGCATCAACATCTATCACTCTCTGAGGATCTAACTCCCAGGGACACAGCAGGAAGCAGGGCTCACATGTCTTCTCCTTTCTTCTCACAACCCAGGGGATTGGGGGAAGGGGGGTGGAGGATCATTCTTTCCCTCCAAATTTCTTCAAGACACATAGTCTTTTGATCCAAAATCCCCTTGCCTCTTTACAAGGAAAAGGAAGGAAGGAAGGAAGGGAGGGAGGGAGAGAGGGAGGGAGGGAGGGAGGAAGGGTAGGAGGGAAAAGAGAAAGAAACATTTAAAAACAAAGTAAGTCCCTTTTTGTAAAACAAAAGATAGAAAAATGTCTTGGTTGTCTTCAACCCTGTCACATGCCCCCAGTGAGGCAAGGAACAGCACGCCTGCACGGAGAGAGGGCGTGAGAGAAACAAAGGCACATCACAAATGTCCTCCGGTCACTTGAAAAAACACGTCTTTACTCTCCTTTCCCTCACTCAAAACTTTGCAGCAAGTCAGTTGTGATTCTTTTCTGGGCAAACGATAGTGCTTGCAAGAAATGTCAGAATAAAAGCTTCTCTTTTGTTCCTCCTAACAGTCCCTTAGCACCTACATTTCTCCAGTGGCTTCTGTCCACTTCTGTGGACTTTTCCCAGGCTGGCTCACATCTTATCCTGAGGGAAGCTGGCTGGAAGGCACCACTGCCCAACCCTCACCCCACCCCCCAGTCAAGAAAAACAAGAGTACCAAAGGCAGCAGGTCAAGTGGCCCCATGAATCCCCCAAAATGTTTAAGCCTGAAATGCCCATGCTCCCCCACCCTGCACCTGCCCCAAGTCAGTACATTATACAAACACTTTCTTACTCCCGCATCCCAGAAAGTCCTTTTAAGCCTTCACCTTACTTGGTGTCTCTCTATAAAAGAGGACTGTCCCTCCTTCCTTTTTTTCTTTAAGATTTTATTTATTTATGACAGAGAGAGACACAGCAAGAGAGAGAACACAAGCGCATGGGGGACCTGGAGAGGGAGAAGCAGGCTCCCCGCTGAGCAGGGAGCCTGTTACCGGGCTTGATGCCAGGACCCCGGAATCATGACCTGAGCTAAAGGCCTATGCTTAACAGCTCAGCCACCCACGCGCCCTGCCAACCCCCTTCCTTACAACTCTCTTCTTCAATTTGGTTTATGAGGCACCTATCCTCCCCTGGTTTTCCTCCTCCTCCCTGCCACAGCCTGGCTCTGGGATCCCACCCTTCCATCTAACCTTTCGTTGCTAATCCGCCACAAGGTCCTGTCCTTGGCCCTCTCCTTACTACTAGCCTTCACAGAACAAGTTCAACTTCTGTCAGTGCTGCAACACCTACCAAAACCTCAAAAATCCCTGCCACATTCCTTCCCCTCCCTCCTGCCCTCTCTCCTCCTCTCCCTTTCTGATTCCAGACACACATATGCAATTGCCTGTTGATTATTTAGCTAGAAAACAAAGAGCCGGAAGGGAGGAGGAGAAGATTGCTAATCTCCTATATTTGAAGGACAGAACCACAGAGCAGACCAGGACCAAATGGGTAGATTCCAACTTAATACAAGGGAGAATTTTCTAACAAAGAGCACTAGCCAGCAGTGGATGGGCCCCTTCTGAGGTACTGAGCTCCCCACGACCAGAAGTGGGCAGAGAGAATTCCTACACACAGTACAAGCCCGAACTAAGCAACATCCAAGTTCACATTTCCCCATGAGATTGACACTTCTCAGCTCAGCATTCAGGGATTTGAACAGACAGAAGTTTTGTTGGTGTTTTGTTTTGTTTTTCATTTTTTTGAGTACCTAAAAATTGCAATTCTTCATAATAGGACACTGGTTAGAAATCATTGCAATATTTCCTTTTATTCCATTATTTTTTAAATAACCACAATTTTGTCTATCCAACAATTTATCCTACAAACTCATTTGTCATACACACTCTATAGTTTCAAGAGAACAAAAATTACTTGGTCATTGACTGAAGGCTTTCACATTAAAGCATGGTTGGGGGGTGCCTGGGTGGCTCAGTGGGTTAAATAAAGCCTCTGCCTTCGGCTCAGGTCATGATCTCGGGGTCTTGGGATCGAGCCCCACATCGGGCTCTCTGCTCAATGGGGAGCCTGCTTCCCCCTCTCTCTCTCTTCCTGTCTCTCTGGCTACTTGTGATCTCTGTCAAATCAATCAATCAATCAATCTTAAAAAAAAAAAAAGCATGGTTGGAAAACTCACTGCTTCTGGACACTTCTCTCTGTTCCATTCCTATATGTTATTTTAAAAAATAAAAAAAAGGAATCCTAATTGAATCCTAATCTAACACACAGGCTTTTGGAAAGTTCTTATTTTTAAAAGTTTTTCAAGGGGCGCCTGGGTGGCTCAGTCGGTTAGGCATTTGACTCTTGGTTTTGGCTCAGATCCTGATCTCAGGGTTGTGGGATCAAGCCCCACATCTGGCTCCACACTCAGCACAGAGTCTGCTTGAGATTCTCTCCCTCTCCCTCTGCCCCTTCCTGCCACTTGCGTACACTCTAATAAATAAAATCTTTCAAAAAAAAAAAGAAGGAACTCCCTGCAATTCCATCGCATAATCGTTTGCATTTGTTCGTGTTAATCCTTGTCACTTGCATACGCAACTTTTTCATCTTTACAGTATTATCAGAGCAGCTTTATAGTATGTATTTTCATTAGTATTTCTCTTTTTCATTACTTTTTCCCCCTTACTTCCCACCTCACCCCCAAGATAACCAATGCACACAGCCTGGAGAATTACTTTCTACATCTTTCTGTGCTTGGCTCACCCAATGAGGGGTGGGGTGGGGGGTGGCGGGCACCAGAACACTATTTGAATCAACTAAGCTCCCTCTTTCTCTTGCTCTCCTGACATACCCAAATTTCTACATCCTTCCTCCAGTAGACCCTACTGCCCTCTTACCCACTTTGTTGGAAACAACCAAAAGGAGGAACCGCAAAGATTAACTACTACAAAATGAAAGTGTCCTAGACTTTCAGCTGCTCCTCGGATCAGAGCAGCAGGACCTGGGGAATCTCCTTTGCTCAGCCTCTCACGCACATGGTCTTTTCCTACCCCATTTTCTTCCCACCCTCCAACACCTGTATACTCCCCCACCTCACGACTTGTACTTCTATTCACTTTTATTCAGTTTCAGCTGCCTTGCTGCTCCAGCTTATGCATGGGCCGACACATCCCGTCAACAGCACAGCCTTGCCGTTCCGCCATCTATCCTCCTCAAGCCCCCAACATTTCTTGGCTCAGTTTCTCAAGTTCACCTTTTCACACCAAAATGCTCATTTTCACACTGGTCTAATCAGCTCCAGCACTGGGAGGAGGAGGAGGAGGAGGAGGAAAGAAAGAGTTGTGTGGTGATATGGTTTATGACTGTCCCTTTAACAATGGTGGTAGAGGGAACATTTTTTCTCCCTGGGACGGTTTTGGTCAGGAGGCCCCGCACAGCAAAAGCCACCACTGTCCCCCATAAGGTTCTGCCCTGCTCACACACTTTGTAGGGCACACACTTTGTTCACACACTTTGTTCTTGATTCAACTTCAAGAGGGAGGCAGGGAGGTAAGAAGCAATCCCAGAGCCGGCCAGAGAGGCAAAGGCAACTTAGGCTGGTGCATCACAGACCTGCCAAGGCACAGCCCCAGAACCCACCTCCAGGCTGGTACTCACAAGGGGTTGAGCAGCCAAGGAAAGCACACCTCAGACTCATGTGTGGGGTTACGGCATGGCTCTGCCACTTCCTGGCTCTGGGATCTTGCCAAAGTCAAAACATTTTGAGTCTTGTTTTCCTCATCTCTAAAACGACACAATTTAGGGGTGCCTGGCTGGCTCAGTCAGGGGGAGTGTGCAACTCTTGATCTCAGGGTTGTGAGTTCAAGTTCCACATTGGGTGTAGAGATTACTTACAAATAAAATCTTGAAAAAATAAAATAAGGCAATTTTTTAAAAATGTGACTTCATATAGTAATTGTAAAGAGCAAAAAATTAAATGGAAAATAAGGTTCAAAATCCTTTCATCAATTGAGAGCTATATAATTGCTGGTTTAATTTATTTGCCGTTTCGTGTTCTAGCTTGCTGAAAGTCCTTGTTAACTAAGTAAATGGTCAACTCTTCATCAACAGGAATAGAAATCAGCCACAAAGTCACCAACATGACTTGGATTCTACTCTCTGGCCAAAAAATTATTTTCTTCCATAGAGTAGTTTTAAGGGTCCGAGTACGTCCAATCTTAAAATGTAAGCTAGGGACTTTAACTGAAAAAATAAGGCTTTGCTGGTAAGTATCCAATTAAAAGCAGGGGGTAGTAAACAAAAGCGTATCAAATTTTTCTACCTTTATTTATAAAGAACACAACTCCTCCTGACGCAGACACAAACACTCACATGTCCCAAGGAGGACCTCATGAAAAACAACGACGACAACAGAACTGGAGGACATCGGGGCCTTAGTTAACACCAGTCTGTGTGTCCGACTCGGGGATCACTGGGAATGTGTCCTCAAATGTGACCTCTCACCTCAATGAAAGGAAGAGAGACCTTCATCTGGAGGGCAGGCCCACCCACCAGGCAAACAGCTGCAGGCTCAATCTTCAGCATCATCAAACTGTCCCGTTTCGAAGACCATCTTGGAATAATGGGGTATCAGCGGAGGTGGATGGTGCCAACTGGGGTCATAGACCATGTCCCCTTGCGGGGCACAGCACACCCAAGGTTTGACCTCTTGAGAAACGCAACCCTGGATGTCATCAGCATCTGCAAGCAGTTTAAAGAAAAAAAAAAATTAAAGGTAGGAGGGGAGGGGAGACAGACATTTGCAGTTCAAAAGCACACACACAGAGCCCTCCTTGGATTGCGGTCTGAGGACCCCCCTGGGTGGTGCTTCTCAGAGCAGAGCCCTTAGCAGTGCAGAGGCTGTAAATGCAGAAGACAGCACTTCTCTCTGCAGCTGCTAGATTCACACAGATATTTTAAGAGTCAACTGCAAAATTTGCATTTTTTTTCCAGTATGAAGAGAAGCTGTCACAGACCTTTCAGCCCTGTACCAGGTATCAGGCTAAGCTCAGAGACTGGGTCCGTCTTTCAAACTGCCTGCCTGTGGGGTAATACAGTAGGAGGCTCTCCGAACCTTGGTCTAGGACCCTAGAAACGCCATACCTACCATACGGATTCCCTTGATCTGCCTTCAACTCCAAGTCCCAGTCCTCGTTAAAAAGATCAGCAGCCTGTTCCTTGGGTGGACGGTCAGACACGCCTTCTGACAGCTCCCAGGTATTCAGGTCCCCGTCAGAATCCTCATCATCCACAGCAAACCCTTCCTCTTCCGAGTGGGTGCCCTCACCGTGGGAAGGACTACCATTAGGGATGCTCTGTGCTCCACTGGCTAAGAAATCAACAGAAGAAAGGTCTGAGAAAACCACTAGCAACAATACAAGGCTACTCGTGTGCTTGGAAAATGTCTGGCAGACTTACTGAGAGGGCAAGAGTGAAACAAGGGTACAGACTTCCTTAGCCACCTGAACACTTAAAAAAAAATGTTCTGTTTACCTTTCTCGAACAAGGGTTGATCATTTTTTTTTAAGATTTTATTTATTTATTTGACAGACAGAGAGAGATCACAAGTAGACAGAGAGGCAGGCAGAGAGATGGGGTGAAACAGGCTCTCTGCTCAGCAGAGAGCCCGACGCAGGACTCGATCCCAAGACCCTGAGATCATGACCCAAGCCGAAGGCAGAGGCCTAACCCACTGAGCCACCCAGGCACCCTGATCATTTTTTCAATAAAACATTTTGCCTTAAATGAGGCAATTGCAAAGTCTTATAATTCACACAGGGAATCAAGCAAATCAAGTACAGTTTATGTGTTTTGGTAGTTTACAGGTAATTAAGGCAAAGGGCATGTGGACAAATGACAAGTTTTCACAATACAAACTTGAATTTGTACTCTTCTATTTCTCTGTTCATCCTCAGGGAGCACAGGGCAAAGGGACAGCAGGAGGAAAGCAGGCAGAAGGGTAGAACCCATCCAGTCACAAGAGACAGCCACGTCTCCTCATCCCAATACTGGGGAGGGCTGGAAGGTATAATTTCAAAAGGTCTCAAAATAATGGAAGAAAGTTTGGGGGAGGATAACGGACCTCCCAGCACATAGAGCTATGGTGATGGCAGGTCAGAGCTGGGAAAAGAATTAGCCTAAACACAGCTATGCTCCTAACACTGTAAAATAATGGCAGCTATAAGCAAAAAAACAATATTTCAGGGCATGGGTTTTGAAGCCAGACTACCCCAGTCTGAATGCCAGTTGTGCCAATTATTATTGTGTGACTGAGTGGAAATGGAATCCACCAAGCCCTCCAGAACTTAAAACACATGGGTGCCTGAGTGGCTCAAAGCCTCTGCCTTCAGCTCAGGTCATGATCCCAGGGTCCTGGGATCAAGCCCTGCATCAGGCTCTCTGCTCAGCAGGGAGCCTGCTTCCCTTCCTCTCTGCCTCTCTGCCTACTTGCGATCTCTGTCAAATAAATAAATAAAATCTTTAAAAAGAAAAAAAAAAAGAACTTAAAACACAGAACTAGCACACAGCCCAGCAGATATCCCAAAGAATTGAAAACAGGTATTTAAACAAGACTGATAAAAAATATTCTCAACAGCACGGTTTGCGACCACCAGAAGGTGGATACAACCCAAATAAATGCCCATCCACAGGATGAATAACCAAGCAAGATGTAGCGCATCCAGATGATAGAAAGATTCAGCCATAAAAAGGAATGTACTGATTCATGCTCCATGAATGAATCTTGGAAATATTATGCTGAGCAAAAGAAGCCAGACATAAAAGGCCACACGGTATATCATTCCACTGACATGCAACTCACATGCACCTGTCCAGGACTGGGAAATCCATGGAGACAGAAAGCTGATCATGGTCGCCAGCGGTTCAGGGGAAGGGGGTGTAGCTACTTATCAGGTACAGGGTTTCCTCGTGGGGTGCTGAAAATGTTCGGGAACTAAGCCATGCTGGTTACACAGTGTTGGGACTAAATGCCACTGAACTGTATGCTTTAAAATTGCTAAATGTACACCTTATATGTGTTTGACCACAATTTTAATTTTTTACTCTGTGCCTCAGTTTTCTCATCTGTAAATATGAAGACAAGACTGTTGTGAGAGTTGTTTATTTGAAAAAAAAAGGGCTAACTGGGACGCCTGGGTGGCTCAGTCAGTTAAGCCACTGCCTTTGGCTCAGGTCATGATCCCAGGGTCTTGGGATCAAGTCCCAGGTCCAGCTCCTTGCTCAGCGGGGAGCCTGCTTCTCTCTCCACCTCTGCCTGCCACTCTGCCTGCTTGTGTGTGTGCTTGAGTGCGCGTGCGTACTCTCTCTTCCTCTCTCTCTCTGACAAATAAATAAATAAAATCTTTAAAAAAAGAAAAAAAAGAAAAAAAGGGCTAACAGGAAAAGAAACACTTTGAATTGTACCTGGCCCTGACTCTACAAGTGTCAGCTGTTATGACCATACCTACATGCCGGCACAGTGCCTTTTCCGGACCAGCGCTAAGCAGCTGGAGTTCCTGTGATGATGGTAATTTTCTCTCATCTGTGCTCCAACAGGCTAGCTAGCAAGAGCCATGTGGGACTTCTGAGCACTTGAAATGTGGCTAAAGTGAATAGGGAACTGAGGTTTTCATTGTGTTTAATTATAATTCGCTTAGATTTAAAGAGTACCAGTAGCTGGTGGCTATTACAGCTCTAGATCCTCCCACCCAACCTCAGAACCAGCCTCTCAAGTTAAGCATTATTATCCCCATTTTAAAGAGGAAGAAAGGATAAATGACTTATCTAAGGCCTCAAAACTCAAGCCCAGGACTCTGAGCTGGAGCTCAAAGTGAAAATAATGTTGCCTGGCTCCAAAGCCCACGCTGCCCTAAGCGGCCTTTCTCAGAAGGGAAGGGTTTGAACACAAGGTCATGACCTCCTTAATGGAAGCTCCAGTGGGGCTACCAAAGAGGGGCACCGTGGAAACACTGGGCAGAAAACAACCCCGCAGCAAAGAGAACTGGCTGGGAAGAGGAGGCCAACAAGATGTAGCGATGGTCCCTCTCTTCCTCACTCCCTTGGTCTGTCCCCACATCCAACCCCACCCCACCCTCACCATCTCCACCGGCTACTTGCCTAGCCGATCCATGGCCTTCTCGGCCTCTCGCTCCTGTCCGGAATGGTCGGCGAGGGCAAAGCTGGCCTGCAAGAAGGAGAGACGGTTACCCAGGACTTGGATTTGTGTGGAGTGTCCCCGGGATTAAGCTACCACCTCGCACCCTCACCTCTGTGAGGATGGGGGATGCTCTGCAACCCCCATTTCTGCTTTGCCCTATGAGCGGCGGCAAGGCCTGAGGGGGAAGGGCATTGCTCCCTCCTATTCCTGCGGACACCACCCCAGTGACACTCGGCCCCCAGCGACACTCGGGGCCCTGCGGCGACCTCCTACAGGGGCCGCTCTATCCGGTTTAGAGTTTGCCAACCTCCTCTTTGGGCCCTCTCGTCAGGGGTCCGAAGCCCAGGCCCTCAGGCCCCCTCCTGTGCCTTCGGAGACCACAGCCGTGGCTGTGGGCAGCGCCACCTCCTCAGAAGTTGGAACTTCAGCTCTGCGAAGCCTCCCCTCTGAGCCTGTAAATTGTAATCATTCCAACCTCATTCCTTTGTTCCCTAAGCCCTCGGCTGGTAGCCGTTTCCTGCAGTTGCTACATGCACCATGTTCATTTTTACCTTTTCAGTGACTTCACTTTCTAGCAAATTCTGTCTCCTGATACATGGGGGCAAGACAGCTGTAATTCCTTAGTGATGATGAAGGGAAGTCTTCTTTCCCTACTGCCAACCATCTGCTTCTCTGCTCCCATCACCTGAAATCCCATCACCTCCAAGATCGCTTTGTAAATAGAATAAGAAATGTTCACAGCCTGCGTATTAAAGATCTGGTTGCAATCCCGGCTCTGCCATTCGTTCAGAGTGTGACCTCCGAGAGATAACCTCAACCACCATGCCTGGGATTCCTTCTCCAGAAATGGGGGATAAATGTTCTGACCTTGCAGGGGGCTCATGATGAGAAAACACTTATGACAACACCTGGCACCCTGCAGGAATGGAATACTGGTTGAGTTTAAACCCACCTTCTTTGCTTCTACCTCTAAAGTGCACTTGGCACGTGCCCCAATTAGCTCATGACCTAGTCCTCCCTTAATGAATAAATTCTACCTCCTGTAGTCAGTGACAACCCTTGCTCACGGCTACAGGTCAGCTGGCGGCATCTCTCATGTGCACCACTGCGGTTGGTCCTTGCCCTCCCCACTCACCCACCCTGCCCAGCCTTAACAGTATCAACCACCACTCTGCTCAAAAATCTTCAACAGTCCTCCACGTGGGCACATAAAATTGGCCATGGCATTCACACCAACCCATCATCGCCCCTCAACCTGTTGAGCATAGTCCTCTCCCCTGTGCCACCCAAGCTCCCACCCATTTGCTCTGTCCTTCATCTCCCCGACTCTGCAGGCGCCACCAACCTGTCCCCTTGGAGAGGAAGCCCGTATCCTTCCTGCTACATCCTGATGGAATCACTATCATCCTATGCGCACCCCAAAGTAATTTTTGTATAAGTCTATCACTGCATTTTTCTTATCTTACTCGGGTTTAGTACCATCTCTGATGCTTAAACAAGCATTCCCGTCCTCTCTCCCATTAACAGCCGCGTCTATCGTGGCGCGGCACGACACTAGGCGCCGGGTTAACAGCACTCAGCAGAGGGTTCCTACCCTCACGGAGCTCACCATCCAGCAGGACTGACTGTAAACAGGGACAGGTGATGACAGTAATAACGGTCTTTTGAAACAGCAGGAGCTGTCTGGCGCGCAAATGAAAACAAGTTTCTGGAACCCCTGCGTCAAGCCGGGCCTTGGGTTTCAGTAAACAGAAAAGGAGAGCGCGCCTCAGACGTCATGTGGTGCTCAGGGTGAGCCGTACATCCCCACCCGTGGTCCCAGGTCCAGCGGGGACAGCGCGCTGCTCGTCGCCCTCACCTGGCCCCGGTCCAGGCCCCCGGCAGCGGCCCCCAGCTCTCGGCCATCAGCATCACCTCCCATTCAGCGAGTACGCAGAGGCGCCCCCGCGAGGGCCGGCCCGCCCCCCGCCCCCTGCCCCCTCCCACGCCCTCGGACGCCGCAGCCCGGCAGTTTCCAGCGCCAGCGCGCGCCCAAACGGCGTTCCCCCGGCCCCGCGGCCCCCGCCCCGCCTTGCCTCGCCTCGCCTCGCCTAGCCCCGCCTCGCCCCGCCCCGCCAGACCCGCAAGCCCGCAACTTCCTGCCCCGCGCCGCTGCCGGCGGCCGCGCTCACCCCCGGGCGGGGGGGCGACTCCCGCGCGCTCGGCACTGGCGGACCCCGGAGCGGCTCGGCGGGACCCGGCGCCCGGGCTCCGACGACCTGACGGTCCATGCCTGGCGGCCCGCGGCACAGCGCCCTGGACGCTGCTCGGCCACGTGACGCGCCCGCCTGGCTGCCAGCCCGAGGATACGCCGCGGAGGGGCCAATCAGCCGGGGGTGCTGCGGCCGAGGGGGGCGGGACCCAGGTCACGAGGAAGCCAGGGGCGGGGCGGCGCGGGAGAGGCGGGGCGCGCGCGACAGCCTCAGCGTCCTACCTACGGGTCCCGGGATCGGATTTTCGTCGCTCCGGCCGGTGCCCATGCCAGCTGACGGCTAGCTGGGTCTGCGGTGCCGGTTGGGATCCCTGCCCCACCACGCTGGGTGTGCTTCAGCCTCCGAACCTCGAATTCCTGTTAGGTCATTCAATCACCCAAGTCTACCTGCTAAGTCTACGAAGCTCAAGTTCTCAAAAGTTTGCATTTGAGCTCCAATCACAGTTCACTCTCCATCACAGGTGTTTGTAGAACTCAGGCCGGAATGGGACCATAACCCACTCACAAATGGATGTGCCCGGGGATTCTCCACCCTAAATTATGATAGTTCTTATAAAGGTAATGGATTAGAAACCAGGACAGATGATGAAAACAATGTGCACACACCATATGACAGTCCCCATAACCCTGAACATTCTGTGCTGTCACAGTAGCCTGTTCTGGGCTCCTGGGTTTTTTTGTTTGTTTTGTTTTTAAAGCTCAAAGCCTGACCCTCTACGGCCAGAGGGCAGCAGCAGATGGGCAGGGCCTGATTTGGGGACAAACCCAAAGTCACCCTTCCCTGTCTTCCCCCAGACTGCCTAAACTTCCATAACAAACCTGCTCAGGGTGTGATAATCATTTTAACAATGAAGTAGCAGAAAAGTTAGAAACAGGGATTCCTGCTCAGGAGGACAATCTTTTGGGACATTAGAGAGGTTATTCCTTCATCTCCCTCAAAAAATGTCACCCAGGGTCTGCCTGGGTGGCTCAGAGGGTTAAGCCTCTGCCTTCAGCTCAGGTCCTGATCTCAAGGTTCTGGGATCTAGTCCCACATCAGGCTCTCTGCTAGGCAGGGAGCCTGCTTCCTCCTCTCTCTCTCTCTCTCTCTCTCTCTCTGCTTGTGATCTGTCAAATAAATAAAATCTTTTTAAAAAAAAAATGTCACCCATAAGACATTTGAAAACATTAGTGTAAAGGGGGAATGGGCAGAACAGGTGAAGGTCAGTGGGAGACCCAGGCTTACAGTCATGGAATGAATAAGTTACGGAGACAGAAGGTACAGTATAGGAAATATAGTCAGTGATATTGTAGTGGACTTGTATGATGACAGATGGGAGCTACACTTGGGGTGAGCGCAGCTAACATATGGAGTTGTTGAATGGGCTGTGTTGTACACCTGAAACTTATGTTCACATTGTGTCAACTACACTCAAATTTATAATTTTAAATAAAAATGTTTCCTGCTACAAAAAAATTTAGCTTAACAGTTGATATACAGCACTTTTTTTTTCTCTGTGTAGACTTTTCTGCAGAGAAAAGAATATGACCAACTAATGTGTGCTCTGTTCTGACCTATGAGTCAAGTTTCCCCAAGTTTAACTGGACCAAGGTCGACACTCTCCACTAGAACCTTAAGTGGTGGAAATAAAAGCTCTATTAATTGAAGTGTCCAGTATGATAAACATGTGGCTGTTGAGAACTTGTAGCATAGTCAATGTAAATGAGAAAATATATAATTTCAATAGATTTAAATTGCCACACATGACTAGAAGCTACCATACCTAACAGTGAGGCTCTGGGTGCACCAGCTAGATGTATCTTCACAACCTGCAATGCTGAGCCCTACGTACAGGGTTGTGATAACCCCATGGTGACCCACCTTCATAGCGTTGCTTTAAGGAGCCATCCACCAGGGGGCGCCTGGGTGGCTGAGCAGGTTATAGCTAATTTTGGCTCAGGCCATGATCTCAGGATCCTGACATGGAGCCCAACAGGCCCTGTGCTCAGCACGGCATCTGCCAGAAGTCTCCCCCTCTCCCCACACATTCTCTCTCTAATAAATAAATCTTTAAAAAAAGGGGGGGGTGCCTGGGTGGCTCAGTCGTTAGGGGTCGCCTTCAGCTTGGGTGGTGATCCTGGGGTCCTGGGATGGAGGCCGGTGACAGGCTCCCTGCTCAGCAGGAAGCCTGCTTCTCCCTCTCCCACTCCCCTTACTTGTGTTCCCTCTCTGGTTCTCTGTCAATAAATAAAATCTTTAAAAAAAAAAAAAAAAAAGGAGCCAACTCACCTCTTATAAACAACATGTATCTCCTTCCTCAAATAAAAATGCCATGTAAGGATTTAAAATGGAAATGTGAAAGAGGAAATTTTTCTTATTTTATAACGAGTGCTAAGCAAACAACATTTAGAGTACAAAAGCTCCAAGTAAAAACGTCCTAAAACAAGGGGCCTGGGGAGCTCAGTGGGTTAAGCCTCTGCCTTCGCTCAGGTCATGATCCCAGGGTCCTGGGATCGAGCCTCGCATCAGGCTCTCTGCTCAGCGGGGAGCCTGCTTCCCCTGTTCTCTGCCTGCCTCTCTGCCTGCTTGTGATCTCTCTCTCTGTCAAATAAAATCTTTTTTAAAAATGTCCTAAAACAGACTCTAATATAGGAATTTATTATGTAATAAAAGTAGTACCACAGGGGTGCCTGGGTGGTCCATTTAGTTAAGCATCTGATTTAACTGCTGCATGCCTTCAGCTCAGGTCATGATCTCAGGGTCGTGAAATTGAGCCCCATGACAGGTACCCCACTCAACGGGAGGATTCTGCTTGAGATTCTCTCCCTCTGCACCTCCCACTCATAAGCTCCCTCTCTAAAAATTATAAAATCTTTTTTAAAAGGTGGGGGGGGCACACCTGGGTGGCTCAGTCGATTGGGCATCTGCCTTTGGCTCAGGTCATGATCCCAGGGTCCCAGCATTAAGCCGCACACTGGAGTCCCCACTAGGCAGGTAGTCTGCTTTTGCTTCTCCCTCTGCCCCTCTCCCTGCTCATGTGCACTTTCTCTCAAATAAATTGAATCTTAACAAAAAAAAAAAAAAAAGTACCACATGGGGCACCTGGGTGGCTCAGTGGGTTAAGCCTCTGCCTTCGGCTCGGGTCGTGATCTCAGGGTCCTGGGATCGAGCCCCACGTCGGGCTCTCTGCTCAGCGGGGAGCCTGCTTCCCCTTCTCTCTCTGCCTGCCTCTCTGCCTAATTGTGATCTCTATCAAATAAATAAATAAAATCTTTAAAAAAAAAAAAAGTACCACAAATCAATAGAGAGAAAAATGACTGGCCACAGTGTTGCAGAAAATTTAGTTAACTCCTTGGGGGGAAAAATGAGTTGTCTTCAGCAAGAGGAAGAGTTTTCAATAAAAGAAATCATACACACACCAAACTATCCTCTAGGAATCAAAACCACCACAAAAAAACAAACAAACAAAAAAAAAAAACCTGGGGCTAATTATTTGCAATAAAGGAGAGACAAACTAAGAAGTAGTATTTTAAAAATTCTTTCAAATTAGTAAGAAAAAAGTTTGTCAACATAAAAAAACAAGAGAATCAGGAAAAGCACATTAACTTCATTAATATAAAAAAATGCACATTAAAACAATGACATATCACTTTTCACCTATTCAAATGGTAAAAATTTAAAATATAATACCCATTGCAGGTAAAGGTTTGACATTTTCCTACACTGTTTCAAAGTATTCTCCTACATTGCAGATTGGCAAGAATACATGTCAATATTCTTTAAAATACTTATACCCTTTAATTGAGTATTCTACCATCATCCGTCAATCTTCTAAAGAAATGACCAGGGATGTGACAAAGATTTATAAGAATTTTCATCAACAGCATTTATAAGAAAAAAATTAGGAATGACAAGGTCCAAACACAAAAGATTAGTAAAATAAGTCATGGCTCATCTATACAATATAATGTTAAAAAGTCATTAAATGTTTTTAAGGCTATTTAACAACATGGAAAAATAACATAAGTGAAACAATGCTAAGTAAAAATACACTGAATGCTTCTACCAGTGACATCAATGCTCAGTTAAGGAATGTAAAATTCAAACAGTTGCCTCCCCTGCTCCCAGAATGCCCTCTCTGCTCCAGGCCATCCTCCACCCTTGCTTCTGCAGGCCTTCTCTGCTGCTCTAATCTACTCCCAATCCATTGCCCTCCTTTTGTTGCTGGGTCTCCCCACTGTAGACACTTTTCTAAAGATCAGTCCCAGAGATAGAAGACACTTACATATAATGTCTTTTCTCTCTCAAAGGTCAACTTTTGCCCCCAATACCCAGAATCTTTTTCTGTGGCATCAACAAGCTCTCTCAGGATGTCCAGATCCCTACCTCCATCTGAAAAAGCTTCTCTTCTTTCCAGCTCATAATGTACACTCAGTGAATGAATGATTGAGTAAATGATCTAACAGTATACATCTAATTCTCATAACAGAAATAAAGTTTAACTCCAAAGGATGAGGTTATGGGATGCTTTTATTTTCTTCCCGTTACTGTGCTCCCTCCATATTTCCCACAACAAATGGACACCATGTATACTTTTTTAATAAGGAGAGAATAAAAAATGTACTTTCTCCTCTACTTTCACAGGCCCCTAGGTCCAGATTAGAGATACTCATTCTTGACCAGGTGTAACAAAAGAAATTCAAGTTTATGATTTCCATATATCTTGGAAAACATTTAGGACTTACAGTAAGTTCAGCCTTAACAAGTAGCCTCTGGCCACTAAATAGCAATTCTCTTTTCTGGAATTAAAGATTAATGCACTAACTAAATTAAAACATGTCCCAAAATCAGACAGCCATCTAGTCTGCCATCTCCCCACAAATTGCAGATGAACTCACAATACAAATCTGGCCAGAGGGCTTAAAATACGATTTCACAAAGTTGGCTCTGTTTTTCCTCTTCTCACAAATGGCCGGCTTGATGCATAGCATGTTTAGCTACAAAAACCTCTGCTGATTCTCCCTGTAACATTTTCATGGCTCGCCAGTAGATCTGTCCGCAGTTCTCAGGTCTACCAAGGTTCAATTCTTCTTTGATGTAATCCATCCAAAGATCTTTAAAGAGAACAAAGAAAAGTTACCGTAA